CTGAGATCTTTGACAAGCCAGATGCGAGAAAAATGTGAGAAAAAAAACATTAGAAGGTGGAAAACTTTAAAAGAAAGAATGAGACCAACCTGGATGAGAAGTACAAAAAAGCCTGAGCTGGCCATTCGAGGCAGGAAGAAACTAAAAGAAAAACAAAAACGGGGACAAAATGCTTAGTGTGACTCAACGACCCAGACTGGGGGAGTCAGTCAGCATCGGGAGAGAATGGCAGGAAGGGCGTGCCGGGCCACTAATGGCCGTAATGAACTCAACCAATGGCATTTCCCCCCAAACGCATTGTGTTTACGCCGCCTGGTGCCAATTAAGAACAAGGAGTGGACATTGGCTCTCGGAGGCGGAAATGCTGTTTAAAAAATGCCCTTGTAGGGAAAAGATCCCCAGCTTCTGAGAAATGAGCGTCTGTTTGACTCTGAGTCATGTTTTTGTCGTGTGTGAGAGGTCGAACGTGATGGTCAGGGTAATGGTCCACCCCACTTCACGTTCCTCCGATTTGAATGCAGTTTGACGACTCAAAAATGTGACTACACCTATGAAATTGAATTGAATCGTTAGCTAGCAGCCGTGCCACAAGACCTGATAGTAATGACACTTAATAAAAAGCAACCGCTTTAACATTAGCAGTGTTGCATTTGATCAGGGGCTACAGGGTAATACAGTCAGATACCTCATCATGTCCTTCTTTACCATGAGAACAAAAGGGCAGACATGATTGAAACCACGATTTGGAAACTTTTTTCTCTATTTTGGTTTGAAACGCAAACTTTCTAATTTCAACCCTCTGAGAGGACGCGGCAACAGACGCTCTTCGTTTGATTCTTCTTCTTCTTTTTCCCCTAAGAGTCTTTAAGTCATTTAAAGACTCTTCTCTGTGGAAACATGACGTCCAGAACGCGGCGTGATTGCTTTGTTTTTGTTCAGAACTTGTTGAAAAAAAGGAGAAAAAGGTGGGAACGAGGACCCTCTCTGGAGATGCCTGTGCTGGAGCATCAGCACCTCTCGTGTGTCGGGAGGAAGAAGAGGAGTAACGAGATGTACCCGACGTCTGTAGTGTTAATGTGGTCTCACACACACGCACACACAGGAAAAAAGTCACTTTTAGTGTGTTTCAAACAGCAGGGGCTCTAATCTTATATTCCAGCGACGTGGCTCTTTCATCTGAGGGACATGAGGGTGGTTTGTGAGAGGTGGCGGAAATAACACGGGGTTGGATTCCGACTCGTGTTTTTCCGCGGCCCCCGCGAGACAATTTAAGTGCACGCCGTGAAATATTCAGCTGTATTAGCAGTTTGACGCGTGTCAAACTCCGTCACGTCAGCCTGAGCAGTCAGGTCTGGTGGATTCACCATTCCTCACACCGCGTCTTCTGCTGGCACTCAACTATTTAATTGTCCTTACTTGAAGCCTGGACACCAGGATTTGCCCTTTC